CACCGCAGTTTTGGTCACCTTTAAAAACGAAAAGTGTTGTTGCAGTGCAGATCTCATTAATGCTTCACCTGGGTCACTGAGATCTTACACCTGCATGGAGCTCACTTAGCCTAGATCACTGACAGGGCTACTTGGGCAGTCTGCAACATTAGATTGCTGCATCTCACCTGGATGCATTTTAAGCAACCATGATGTGCTTCTGACGTGTCTATCTGCTGACAAGCATTACGTTTTCATCACCGCGTGTTACTGCTGATGTGAGGACAGAGTAGAGCAGACTCGCTTGCACCTGTCATTTTCAGGTTTCCATGGCATCAGAAGAAGCGCCTTTGACTTTTGACTTGTCTTTTGTTTGGGAACAGTCATTGGCGTCTTCTAACAGTGAAAGGTTTAGCTCTGGTAAGGGGACCCTCCAGTACTGGAAGGAGTTGTAAGTGCAGTCTTCGGTTTCAGTGTGGGTGTCTTCATCAGCCTGAAAACAATGAGAACAAGTTGAGTTAAGGAGAAGTGTGCAAATTAGGTAACAGTAGTATTTTGGACTGGCTGTCCCAGGTGAGGTCAACCATATGTGGTCAAAATCAGAGCCACATTTTACACTCATAAAGTTGTTGACAGGTAGCTTGGAAAACACAGAGCTATACGGTGGGTAAAGGGTGACACCTGGTGGACAGTTCCTGCCATAACACCTGCTCACTTTATCTGAACAGCCCCACTGCAGCATATGCACACTGTTAAACTTCTGCTATGCTGTCAAAAACTTACTTTATCATCAGTAGCTTTAGGATTAACAGTCTCTGAACCCTCGCAGTCACCTCTGGGTCGCTTCTTGGAGCTTGTGAGCGTGCTGGTGCTGCGACGGTCCTGGAAACTTCCAGAAGTCTGCACTGTCACACTAGCTGCATGTTTCCTGGTGTCGCAGATCCTGGGCTTGCGATAAAGAGCTGTTTCTTCCTGTATCTCTGGGTCTTCAAAGTAGTGCGGCCTCTTCCTGCAGCGGCTGCCCAGCAGAGCCAGCAGGGACGGCGGGCTCACACCCCCGGTCGGAGCCATGCTGTCCAGGTGCATGTCAACACTGCTCATCAGGCGGCAACATCTTTTGGAGGGAGCGTCGTGCAGCAGCGTGTCCTCGGTGCGTCGCTTCGCCATTAATGTCGGCTCTGTCAGGGTACTAACATACAGCAGTAGAGCAAAACACGTGGGTCCAATACTGTTAGTAGCTGCTTTCAGTGCCTGCGATGATGCACATGGATGTGTTCCGCCTCGCACATTAAGCACCGGTAGTACAATCATTGAGAGGCAGTCCGGATTACCAATCAGAGGAGAGATCCGTTGTCTGGCCCCGCCCACCGCCGCATCTCTTCCTGTGGCGGTATTTTTATTTCATCCAAACCAGAATATTATCAGGGAATTAACTAGGATTTACCAGTGAATCCCCCTTCAGAAAATGTTGACCAACAAATTAAGTATCTAAAATGTTAATGATGTGGATTTTTCACATTAACTGTTTATCTTTTTTTCTGTAAATGTGATACCCCAGCATAAAGGTCCAAATGTTCTATCATCACACTGCCAAAGGTAAAACGCTGTTAGGGGAATGTTGAGTCCTTTATTTATTCATTTTGTTGGCTGACTCTAAAAAATTAAGGGTGTGCAATACCACAAATTTTGATTTAAACCTGATACCAAGCAATACCCCAAGAGGAATTGCTGATATCCGGTATCCGATATGATACTTTTCATCATGAATAGTGGCTTATGTAGGCCTACTTTCACGTTGGGGAAAGCAGTGTGTCATGATTTATGAGGCGAATAATCAGTCAGCTAAAGTAACAGCTAATGATGACCAGTTACAGTTTGAAAATGTAACTTTAACTAATGCTGAAGATCTGATTTGACTAAAATATTATTTTAACTTCTGGATATTTCTCACCTGAGCTTCTCTGACCGAGATCTGCAAGTGAACTCTGTCTCTGTGTCAGGGGTCTGGATGCTGAGGCATTCCCTCCTCCTCCCATCTTTTCGTTGCAGCTCCAAGTTCTCTTTCTTGTGTTTTTTTTTTCCACTTTCATTTAGCCATCACTCCTATTATGTATCAGAATAAACTAGTCACTAGTGTGATGCATATGTTGTTTGAGTGCAGACAACACAAGCTGTGGAGAAGCAAACTGTACATGCACTAGATGTGTTCACAACCACAGAATGTTGTTTGCACAGACTGTTACTCTTGAAATACAAACAGGTGCGACGTAGAAGTAATCCCTTTTTGGTATCGATTCTATTGATGCTAGGCTGGATCTTCAAAATGAAAACATAGAATCTATAGTATCGATATTTCAGTATTAATCCACCCACCCCTACTAAAGATACTCAAATTAGCCTACAAAATACCCACCCTACCAAGACTGCTACGACCACCATAACTTATTATGGACTTCACTTACAGACTTCCTGAAAATGTCTGCAAGGACATGACCTCCGTCTCCTTAATGGTAGCTACTGTCTTGATCTTAATGATCTATGTTCCGGCTTGCCACATGACATGCTGGCATTAAAAGTATGTTAGGTCAGTCTTTAAGGTGGTGACACTACTAACCTTTAAAGTGCTAAATTGGAGGGCCCCTTCATACATGCTACATCCCTCACAGCTGTATGTGTCATCCCTTATTCTCAAAGTCCAGGATAAGAAGAAAGAAGTCTTCCTATGTGGAATAATCTCCCAGCTGACATCAGTCTGATTCTGTCTTATGAACCTAAATGTAAATCTCTACTTTGTACTTTGTTCGTTTCTTACGGCCATTTCACAAAAGACATTTTGACCTATCATATCAGGAAAGGACAGCTGTAAATAATGACATTAATTGTGGTTAAATTCCAATTTTGTGGCTTCTATTTCAGGGCGCTGGTATTGTGTACGCTGCCACACTGTCATGACTTACTTGGACATTTAAATAGAACAAGCCACCATTGATTATATTAGTAACACTTGTGACTTTCCTGCTATAATAAGTCAAAATGTCTGCTGTGAATTCAGACCTGTTATATATAACTGGTGGACCCCTGGAAGAAAAGCACAGGTGTAACCAATAACATTAACGACTGTATTTAGTTGTGTGAGTCTACAATAGAACCGCTACATCATTAAATGTTATTGGTTACACCTGTGCTGTTCCTGCTGGTCAACATGCCTGCAGTGAAATACATCTGTTGTGGCTTAATATAAACTAAGGCACATGTATTCTCTTTATCCCGACTGGAAACTACCTCTTAACTGATAAGCAAGCCTGATGTAGCGCGCACAATCACATTTACTTTTTCAGCACCTGAACAAATGATGAAATAAATGAAAACACTTAAAGGAGCAGTGTGTAGAATTTAGTGGCATCTAGCAGTGAGGACAAACCTTTTTCACAGCAGATATTTTACACTGTAGGAAAAGCACAGGTCAAAGTGATAACATTAAAAATGGCTCAGTTCCATTAAGTGTCATAGTAAGCTATTCCAGTGAGCCAGCATGCACAATGTCAGGGCCTCCCCTAGGCAGAATGTTGGCACCATTAATGTTATTTAATACAGCCGTGATTTTCCTACTATGACATGTCAGAATGTGTGCTGTGAAAAAGGTCTCTCTTAGGTGGCAACCAGCTGAAATGGCTCCTTTATGCCAAGCATGAACTTCCTGTTAAGATTCCTCAAGTGTTTATTGTTTCTAGGTTTTCACCTGGAGCTGAATTATTTGCGGAAGTCTCTTCCTCTCTAACACAAACAGACCAGGGGCCGTATTCACAAAGCTTCCTCACACAAAGAGTTGATCCTTGTGACGAAAATCTAAAAAAAATTCTTAGTGTTGTGATGTTTTCTTAGAATTTCCCCTTAAAGTTAAGACTAGGTCCTTGTAAAGATAAAAGTTATTCACAGAGCATCTTAGACCTTAAAAGAGCTCCTGATGTGAAAAAGTGTTAGGAGTGGGGAGAGGACTTTTAAGAGGCTTAAGAGTTCCTTAAGCAGAGGAGGAAACGTTGGAAAGACAAAGAGGTCTGAGAAATATTCTCCAACACCTGATGACAGTGAGTAAATGAAATGCTACAGATTAGATTATGCAGGGATAATAATGTGTGGTTGATGCCATTAGGGATCACACATTTCCCACCTAACACTATAACACCGGAAATAAAATGATCACAATACTAAGATATTGGGAAAACTGGAAAAATGCAACAGTGCAGCATTGATGACTTGTATTGTTCTCAACCTTTCATCAGCAGTGATCACATTAACAATGACTTTCACAGTCAGCAGCTCATCTCATTTCCACTGGGTGTTCACACCTTGCAGGGTCAATAAAGGGTGTCTGTGACAACCAATCACATCTTTTAAAAGAATGCATCATACCTAGCAACGGGTCAATCACACCTCCTCAAGGTAAAAGTTTCTGTCCTTCCTTGCGCAGAGTTGCTCTGAGAACTTTCCTAAATCACTCCTAAGCTAGGACTCCTTACTAAAAATTTTTAGGTGAAGTTAGGAACTCTTTGAAAGTATTCTCAGAATGTTTGTGAATACGGCCCATTGTGTTTTAAACCGTTAAAAACACTGAAGAATGCAGTTTCACATTACAAATCATTGTTTTCCAATGCAGTTTGTCTCGTCACAGATGAGCTACTTACTAAAGTGGCCAACACAAAAATGCAAATGGCCGTCCCTAGAGCCAGTGTTTTGTTTGTCCATTGTGTGCCACAATAGAAACATGGCTGAGCAGCATGGCAGACTACATGGACGAGTGCCCGCTCCCTATGTAGACATAAATGGCTCATTCTAAGGTAACATGACAATGACATATTTCTTACTTTCAGGTGGTTATAAATAAAGAATACACACTTATTATATTCCATTTCTAATATATCCCCTAAATCCTACACACTGGACTTTTAAATTTGGCTTTGAGCTGCATTTCATTGAATTAAAATCATATCAAACTTAAAATAGCACACCTTCGGAGATTAATATATCTTTAAATGTTCTGCTTTATTCCAAAGTGTGATTAGAAACAAGAAAAGTCAATGAATGTCATCTCAAAATTTAAAACAACTTATTACTGAAAATCTGAAACATGGTTTGATTATATTTTCAGTGTTGACTGATAACAATGCAAATGAGAAGATATAGTTATTGGCACCATATTTGAAAAAATAAATAGATTTCAAAAGCTAATGTTCACATCACGCCATCCTATCTCTCTCTCTCACACACACATACACACACACACATACATACATTCTCACACACATTTACTCTCTCAGGCAGTGAAAGTCAATAAAAATGAGCATCAGTAAGACTGCAGGCAGTCAGGCAGGCAGGAGCGCAGTAAAAAGAAATAGACTCTTCGTGGCTTGTACCTGGCACACAAACCACTAAAAGAAAACAGCAATAAAGGGGAACTGACTCATCTCAAATCCAGGTATAAAGAGATGGAGAGTATTTAGATGTTATGTGATACATGTCTCAGGGCCTGCAGAGTTGAGCACATTCCTCCATGAGATACATAATTAAAAATATATATGACAAAAAAGAAAATTCATATCCACTGATTTTTTTTCCTTCTGTGTCCGTTTTCTTCTTAATTTTGTCAGTGTGATCTTCGCTTAGTCAGTGGTTGCACTCGTCTGAGTTCACTGTTTTTGTCATAATATTTCCTGTCACGTCAGGCTGTCTGTACCTTCTCGCCGTGGTGACTTAGCCGCTGGTGAACTCTGTTGGTCATCTTCTTTTTCTTCTTGACTGTTATAATACAGGTCTGCAGGTTTTCGTGCCACAAAGAAGACACAGTCGTAAATGTATCTCAACATAGAGCGGTCGTTCTCTGTGTAGGTGGTCTGAACTGACTCTCTCTCCACCTGCAGGAGAAACAAAATACTGTTTTACTACTGGAACAAGATTTTTGAAGACAAACATGATATTACACAATGAAAAGCCTTTGGTTTACCTCTATGTGGAAGCCGAAGTTAACTATCGCTGTCCGAATGTCTTCGTAACTAAGTTCAACAGACAGCTCGTTTGCCATATTCTCAAAGTGGTACAGCAGTGGACCTAAGGAAACATAGAATTAAAATTTTGAGATAAGTTTACAGAGACCCAAACATTTAACCTTTTTCCTTACAACTGCACTTTCTATTGAGTAAAAAAATTCATCCCACAACACTTTGAAACAAACAGTAACATTGATGTACATCCTAGTCATGGGACGGTGAAATCTTCCTTCTATTTTTTTAATTTGACTCACCCAGGTTGATCCACACTCCTCCGGGCTTCAGAATTTTCCAGATAGTCTCCACATACTCAATGACATTATGAGCTGTGTCAATAAAGAAGCAGGTAGCAACACAGTCCCAGGAATCTGACCGTAACAGACAATATATTATAACATGATCACTTCAAATTAATATTGCTAAGGTGCATAATTAACTAATCATCAAGCACTCCTCATTTACAGTATCTCCTCATCAGAGTGGTCTGTCTTATTTTGGGCCATTTAAATATGATCTTATGATGTATGATAAACACTTTTTACCAACAGAGATCAGCTGTATATTACCTGTAACCCATTCTTGAGGCCTGGAGTAGACTCTTGTTTGCATTTGTATTAATAAGCTGATATTAATTTGTTATAGTTAATGTAATCCATCAAACAAATTATGTAGAAGGCCAGACATAATCTCAGAGGTTTTCTGTGATTATTGAAGCCAGAAATCACTGCATCTGCCGGACCTTTTGTAAAAGATTGCGTTACGTGTTTTGCTGCTTCTTTTTATCCTTTTTTTGTTATTTTGTGATATGGCAACATTTTAAAACTGAAAAGCCACTGGACGTAGTGCGAATTATTTTGTGGAGCTTGGCCCATTTCTCTTTCAGTGTTATGCCATTAATTTGGCCATTTACAAATTAAGGAATACTACAGACAATCCACACAGCTTCTACTGACCTGGGTCGGTGTAGACTTCCACAAAGTCCCCTGCTACCATGGAGAAGTCTGAATCTAGTGGTAAGCTCTGAGGGTTGACATCAGGGAATCTGATTGATCTTGTTTGGTCGGAGGATTTCTTGTTGTTGCTAAACTGGTGGATCCAGGGGTACAGGGTCAGAGAGTTCACCTTCTCACACCTGAATGGAGCAGTCCAAATTCATGAAGACAGACAGATGGATGTGGTATTCAACAGCGTGAGGTCAGAATTATACTGCCAAACAAGTAAATATGAATTATGTGTTCTGATTTTGTTTGTGATCACTAAGACGTACTTAGAATAGAATTAAGTGCAATCGATGGACACCACAAGCAAGCAGAGATATCCTGTATAAATGTATGCATGAAGGTGACAGTTCCTATGTGTTGTGTAAGGCAGTTGGAGTCACAGGAGTGTTTGTGTCAGTATGTACTGTACCTATTGAGAACAAAGTTTGAAGAGAAGAGCATGAAGAAGCTCCATTCGTTGCCCTGGCAAATATAACCCAGCCGTGCTATCTCCCAGGCTAGACGGCCAAGCCCAGCACCCGGAATCAGCACACTCACCTTAGACACATCACTGACATAATAAAATGTACAAAATGCACATATCACATGGATAACATGTAGCAAGTCACATCCTCAGAATTATTACAAAACATACTAATACCAAAGCACATGGAAAATTTGTTTGCTTGTATCATTTCGTATCCATGAATCATTCTGTCTTAGCATGCATGCAGATGTTTGTGTGGTAGTCTGACTGAGTGAGCGTGTGTGCTTCCTACTATTGGTCACTTGGGAATAGTCTTTGGATCTCTTGGATGATGGGTTTGTAGCAGGTGTCCCTCTCAGCCCGGCCCGTCTCGCTCCAGTCTCTGACAAACTGCTTTATGGTGGACTTAAGCTTGTCCATGTCAAAAGTGGTGGATGGACGCACCTTTCGTGGATCCTCCTGTCAGTTGATGAAAGACACAAAACCTCTACCTTAATTCCTTGAGTAAATAACAACAAGATACTAAAACCACTACAAACTGTATCTGCATGCAGTTTATGTGTGTGCGGTATATGTACAGTAGACCAGTGTAAGCCAAGCCTTACTCTCTCGCCGTACTCAATGTTCTCAAACATGTGGAGGCTGTTGTGAATGATGGCCTGCAGAATCTCCTGGTTGTGGTCTGCACACTGGCTGATCCGGGCCAGGTTGGACAAAACATCTGGCAGCAAATCCTGGTGGTGCTGCGGGAGGCTCAGAAACTGACGCTCAGCACGCTTGACCTGCTCCTGGACATGGACCCTGACAAGAACAGAGGACACGGGTGAATATAAGGGGTCACACGCTTTCTCATGTCAGCTGTCAGATGTCAGCTTTGAGAGAACACAAGTAAGTTATCTGAGGAGCAAGTAGGTGTAAGACTGTTAGTTTATGCAGAATGGATCTAACACTCTAACACAAATGATTCCTATATTATTAACCCTCTTCACTGTCAATGAGTGTGAATGCTACATCACATTATACCTCTCTGAAGTTTGTTTTCACTTGTGAGCAGTGTTAGGGAGGAAAGAGTGCATCATGGAGTAGAAGTGATGCCATGACATGAGAGGAGCTTAGGTCAGAATATTAGCAAATAACCGTAAGCTAGTTAAACACACGTTAACCTAACTGTGGGAGGCACTAGCCACTTTAATAAACACGAACTATCCCAGCTGTCAGTTTTCCCTCCAAACCGTTAGTTATCTGCCCTTTGCTATTGTCGTTTGCTAACGATTTCGTTTACTGACACAAACTGTGGCTACCTGGCTCGTACTTCAATTAAAACGTTGTCATTCTACCTGTAAAATCTAAACGCATCGATAATTCTCCAGAAATGTTGCCTCTCCAGCCTGGCCTCCTCCTCGGGGGTGTATTTAATTCTCTCTTTGTTAAAATATGGTCCTCCCGGGGGTCCCTCTCCGGTTGTTTCGGCCATGTCTGAAACAAACTTACAGCCGTCCAATCAAAACGCGACAAACTTCTTCTTCGTGGGATTCAATAATTCCAACAGAGCAAGCTTCACGAGGCGTGTTGCTGCCACCTGCAGTCAGATGATGACACTGCAGTTAGTTGCTCTGAACCGGATGGAGGCAAACAATATATTACTGCACCTGCACCCCCTTCTCACAATTAATACATAATTATTCTGGTTCCGGGATGTCCATTTTGGTGCCCCCTGCCCCTTGCTTTTACTTGTTTTTAAGGCCCTTAATGGGTTGGGACCAGCTTACGTTACTAATTCTTTGTCGTTTTATAATCCTTCACGGCCTCTCAGATCCTCTGCAGCCGGCTTTTTAAATACAAACTACTCTAATAAGAAAATTGGCAGCTCAGCCTTTTTTAACTATGCACCACAATTATGGAACTCACTACCCAAGGATATAAGAGATACAAGCTCTGTGAAAATTTTCATACAACATTTGAAAACTTATTCATTCAACATTGCTTTCAACTAACTGTCGCTATTCCCTGGTTTTTATCCCCATCCTTCACATTTTTTATCTGCTTCCATGCATTCCACTGTTTTAATTTTATCTTTTACATATTATATTGTTCTTGGTTGCATTGTGCTGGATTTGCACTTGTCTTCTTTTTTTTTTTTTAAATTGTATTTGTCTGTTTTTATTTTATTGTAAAGCACTTTGAGCTACACTTCCCTGTATGAAAGGTGCTACATAAATAAAGTTTATTATTATTATTATTATAATTACACACTATTGCTATTTCTTATACGCTGAAAGGTCTTCAAGAGGCTATTTGATTTAAGTAATGCATAAGCAGGTGGTAAACATTTTTTAGAGTTTTATTTCGGCTGCCATGATATTCAGTTGTTCTCATAAAATCACCTGGTGATGTATCGTCAATGCTTACCTGCAGGGGCCTAAGTTTCATTTCAACACTGGGGGGATGACGTGGGGGTTGGCGGTCCTCCCAAAGGACATTTTGTGTGTCAAACACTTCATTATCTTCATTGTGGTGAATTTTATGCACCAATCTGGGCCTTTTATGCATCATTTCAAGGTGGAATTGTCTTTAATTTAGTCAAAAGTTCTCTGCAACTTTGTTTTTTTCTGGGGGAATGTTATGTCCCCCTGAAATCTACATCTAAGTCTATGCTTTCCTGTTAAATTAGAAAGCAATCTAAGCACCACAGCACAAGCCTCATATATATTACAAAACATCTCAGAAAAAAAGGATTTGAGAAATAAATCTGTTTTTTTGGCTGGGATAGATTTTTGAAGAAGAGGTTAAAGAAAAGTATTTAGGATAAATTGATAACTGCTTCACATAGTCCCTGAATAGTTTGTGTTGTGTGTTATAAAAGCTTATCTCTGTTTTAAGAAATGCCAAATGCTAATGGCTGTTGATAAAACTTTATCCCTGTATTATTTTACCTTCAAAAACCAATGTAAAATCAAACACTAATGAACTTCAAAGCTGTTAAACACTCAATCATAAAGGAGACACAAAAACAAAGATTTTTCTGAGTATTTTATGTATGTGATGCAACAGCTGTGTCTTCAGGAAACACAAAGTTCTTGTTCCATCAGATAGTTGGGTTGATAATCTTGCCCAGGAACAGTATGTTCTCTGTGTCGCGTTCAGTGATGGCGACCATAAATGGACGATTGAACTTCAAGACAGGGACGTGGCGGAAGGACAGAAGTGTGATGCCAATGCCTGTGGCGGCTGCGGCGGTGGCTCCAGCCTCGTCGACATCCAACGTAGCTTGGTGCACAACCTACGGTGAAATGGAGGCAGGAGTGGGATGAAAGATGGATGGAATAGAGTGTAGGTAATATTTGTGAAATAACACATTATGCTTTCTGTCCTTACATCTGAGACAGCCAGTTTTTGTCCCTCTGAAATGCCACTCAAATCTGCACGATCGCCAAACATGTCTGTCATTCCCATTTCTTGCAGCACATCATTCAGGTTGTAGGAAGACTTGATGGAGAACTTTGGAATATATATATTATATGTCCTTTAAAAAAAGGGGAAATAGACAAAGTGATTGATCTGACAAAAATAACTGATCTGACAGGAAAAGTTTTCTTAATACAGTCATTAATACAGTGTCAAACCTTCCATAATAGAAACAAAGAAAGGATGATTTTAGATTCTCCATACCTGGACTTCATCCATTTCAACCATTTGGTGACATGGCCTGGGCAAATGGTGTTCTCCAGTGTTGCCATGTCATCAGGCAACAGCAGCAGCATGGAGTAGGAGCTGTTGAAGGGGAGGTGGAGGACTGATGTGTTAATCACCTGGTCATAATAGGTATCAAGACTCTCCTCCATATTCATCATCTGGACTGGAACCTGGAAAATGAAGGTTTAAACATGAGGTGGAAAAGACATGCGGTGAGAGGGATGCATGATATGCTGAATTATTAATCCATTCTGAATAAAAGGTGCAACTTTGAACCTTGGTGTTCTCATCCACCATGAAGACGTCCTCCTTGGTGAGATCAGTATCAAATGGAGTCGCCCACTTTCCTGTTTGACAGTGATCAGAAGTAAAACACAACTTTTGGTGTGTACACAAAACTTAACCGTGTGACCTCAAGGGTCAGCAAACAAACCAGATCTAATCTCACATAACCTTTTACCTTTGTAGTAGATGTAGCTGAGGAGATACATGACTGTGTTTGGATCCATGCTTTCGACCAGCTTGTCTATCTTCCCGTTGGTCTTCTCCCCCACATACTTATTGATGGTATCTGCGCTTTCTTTGGTTTGGGCGAAGTCAACATTGAACCCATCTGCAGAGTAGGACTGCCTCAAGGTCTCCAGGAATGCAGGCTGCGGCTTGAAGCGGTTGTCCACGAATACAGCAGTGCCTTCACTGACGTCTTCATGAGACGTGTTGTGTGCCCTTTCCATTAGCATGTGGAAGGCATGATCCACAACTGACTGCGTCAGGAGGGTATTGTTGAATCCCAGACCACTGAAAAGCTGGTGGTGGGTCTCCCCTCGTGCTCCTACGGCCAAGGCAGCCAAGGCCACAGACACACTAACTGGGGAGAAGAAGATGTTCTTACCTTCGGAGTCAGCATGAGCTGCTAACTTCCTGTACAGGCGGAAGGCAAACTCTTTGTTGGCAGCAGTCACCCATGAGACGCTGTTGGTGTGGGTGTCGAGTTCAGTGTGTTGGTCATGGTGATTTAAGCCATAATGGTGATTGCCTCTCCCCACGCAGATCAGTGCTGATAAGATCCAGAACCCAACGGCTGCATGCATCATTGTGAACTGAGACAAAAGTTCAGAAGTGCAGCATTGTTGAGTTACACAATGTTTGCTATTGGTAATTTTTCTTCAAGCTAAAATAAATATGTCGTTTCAAAGGCCATGAAAACCCGTTCAATATTTTTTTTCAATCAGCTTCTTACTATGTTGTTATGATGTTTTAGTTATTTTACACACACTTTTATTCTTTTTTCTTTTTCTTGTGTACTTTTTTCAGTGTCATGTCTGTCCATCCACCAATAAGGACTTTGCAACATCCGATCAGAATCTGCTGAGTAGGTGGGCTGTTTGGTTACTGTTAATAAAATCTGATCAAACCACCCACACAGCCCTCATGAGTGTCCCATTGTGAGGTTGAATTCCAAATAAAAAATATTAAAAGATGTTTTTTTTTTAAAAAAGTCATGACTATTTAATGTTATTGAAAAGTATGTTACATTTACAGTGGCTATCATTAACAGAATCGCCTAAGGAGAAGAGAAGAGTAAATGAAGTCATTTCTAAAGAATTTACATTTACAGTTGTAACTCACTACAGTTGTTAGATATTTTCCAATCCCAGTGTGCACAGTTAGCCTACATCTCAAAGTCAAGATGTCAAACACTGTTTTTAACAGTTGGCAGAATAGTTTAACTTGTATGTTAACACAAAACCCAATTCATCTGAGCTCTCCCAATCTATTTAACCACTTACCTCCTCCTGGTTGAAACGCAGACAGTGAAGCACAGGTTGAACAGAGGGGGACATCCCTTTTTATAAGATTGATCAAGTTAACTGAACTTTGGCTTTGTTTATTCTCTATCTCGGACTCTTATTTGCTCTGCCCCTGCATTTGTTCTGTGTAATGATTACTATGATCAAACTGAGACTGCACATGAAAACTGCAAAAGCCAAGCTGCCACCGTTTGCTTCAGCAGCATGTACAAAAAACATATTAGTAATGGTTACTCATCAGTCTCCAGCCCAGACTCTGTCTCATGCCACCTGTTACATTAGACACCCAATTTCTGTTTTTGTGTTTAAGTAGCACTGGTGTGTGAACTGAGGGCCAGACATTCACAAAAAGCTGAATCGGATTCAAATGTTTTTAATACTCCAATTAATTTCTCACGTACAAACTGACAGAATATGAGTATGTTTTACCTTAAAGGGACAGTTCACCCCCAAATTAAAAGTACATACTTTTCCTTCTCACCTTTAGTACTATTTATCAATCTAGATGGTTTTGGTGTGAGTTGCAGAGTGTTGGAGATATCTGTCATAGAGATGTCTGCCTTCTCTCCAATATAATGGAACTAGATGGCACTCGGCTTGTTGTGCTCAAAGAGCAAAAAATACATTTGAAAAACTCAACAGTGATGTCTCTTTCCAGAAATAATGAGCTGGTTACTCAAGATAATCCACAGACCTTGTTGTGAGCAGTTTCATGTAGGAACTATTTTCTTTCTACCCAACTACACCCGCCAACTGTATCACTGCGCAGAAGGAACTGAGTTTTTTCTTAAACACAATTAAAACATGATCCAGGAAATAACCAGATGCTGTTAAGTCCCTTTTAAAAAAACAATACATGTAGTACAAAAACTACGAAATGAAATCAGTGCATTTACTCTTTTACACATTATGAAATATACTAGAACTATCTTTTCCATATTTTTCCTAGGTCTGGACCCATGAAATATGAACAATAATGCCACCAGGCAGCATTTAATGTATGCCAAAGAGCTGGTTGTCCAGTTTGATGAGCTGTCGGAGGAAACCTCGATTGGGGATGACACCCCGGTTCTCTTTCACAGCACAAATAGCCTCCACGAGGGTCAGGTTCTGCTTCAGCATCAGGTAAGCCAGGACCAGGGTGGCAGAGCGGCTCACTCCTACGTGACAGTGCACCAACACTTTGCCTAAGAATCAGAGAAACATTTCATTACATCATACATTTCTGACCAGACAGCCTTTACAGTAAATTAATTTTCTACCTCCTCCTCTCACCTCCTCTGCTGAGAGCCCTGTGGATAAAGTCTGCTGCTGCCTGGAAGTTGACGCTCATGTCAAAGTCACAGGAATCACGAGCGTCTATGCCCATATAGGTGATCTGCATGGAGTCATAGATGTCTGGCTTCCCTCTGCGGTTACTGTGGGCTGCGTTCAGGATGTGAGTGACTCGATGCTTGAATAGGTCCGCTTGGTTCTCTGCGCTGTCTCTAGAAAGCACAACACTCTGTATTTACTGTCAGTGTCTTACATAATGTGGAATATACAGTTAAATATTGCAGGTGTTTTTTTGAATAACAGTTTGCATGGTAAGTAGGGGTTTCAAGGGCCAAAACAAAACATATAAATACACAAAAAAATACACAATTATACAATAAAATACTTATTTGAGTGAGATAGAATAGAATAAAAAAAATGAATAAATAAATAATTAGTTATGGTAATAGGATGCGTAAATAAATGAATGAATAAATAAATAGATTAATAATTATGTAATTTAATGCTTAATTGTCAAAATTAACATTTATCATTTTTTAAGTATACATACATATATTACATACATATACATTTGTACACAATAAATGAAATTATTAAAAGATAAATAAATGTGTGAATGAATGATTATGAAAATAAATTAGTCAATGTATAAATGAAGAAATAAATGTACAAATATGCAAATATATACTAATAAATGAATAAATAAATGAATACAGATAATTAACATTTATATAGCCTATGTAAGGTCGCATTTAATTTTTTATATATTTATTTATAGTGACAATTAAGCCTCAAAGCATATATGATATAATACTATATTTATTAAACATTAGATTATTTATTTAATTATCTATCTATCTATCTATCTATCTATCTATCTATCTATCTATCTATCTATTTATTTACTCATTTTATTTAAGCATCTAGTAAGGCAGATGGGTTTTCACATGTGTCTGACCCAGTGTTGAAATGAAACCTAAGCCCTGGTGAGTTAAACTTATCAAGAGACCTGAGACGTGCTTTCATGGCAGGGCATCAGTGGAAACTCTCACACAGCATGGCTGTAGTTTACGCATGTTCCCAAAGTGGAATGCAACTGGTGGGATCTTCAATTACTCATTCTGCATTTAAGTCTGATTATGATCAGTTCCTCTTTCACACATGTGGACTAACTCCAGGTCTGGACTTGGGCAATATTTGTAAAAATGTCTCAGTCCAACTCTACTAACACACACTGCAGTGAGTTGAGTGCAGTGCCTCAGGTTTTCAGTGGGTTCTAAAAAAGAGAAAAGTTAGTTACTTACTGGTCACCGATGTAAAGCCTTGGCCAAACTTCATCTGCATGGCTGATGATGGCTTTGCCAGTAAACAGGAGTCTTTCCAATTCAAACACTGCTAAGCCAGGTGAACTCAGGTCAATTTCGACTTTCCGAGGAGGTGGTTTATCATTCCAGGACGCGGGAAGTTTGGATGTGTAGGACATTGCTTTTTCTGCAGGGTTCTCTGAGGTGACGCAGCAGTTTACCTAAGTTATGATGCAACTTCTAGTCCTCTAAAAGTAGACGGTACAAGAGTCAAACCAAAAAAAAGTAGCTGCAGCTTGTAGCCACTTAGGTTTTTCAAAATAAATTTCCAAAAAAGCCGTCCGGAACCACTGCGTTAACAGGGCAGAACGAATGGCACAGGTGATAGTGGTCTCAGGCTTCTTCGCCTCAGATATACCCACCGCAGGGTGTCCTAAGGTTTGTCAGGCCATTTGACCCTCGCATTAAACCCAGCTAGTGTGCCTCAAGCCCTCAGGGGCCTGTGTTATGCTTTTGCATCAAAATAGCAGTCTATTTAAAGATCCGTATGCTGCCAGGCAGATGTAGGCAGTGTGGACCCATGCAGCAGTTCCCACTAGACAAAAACATTTTCATAACATAAGGAGTGTCTATTTCTTATTTATCTGTAGCCACTATCCATATAGAGCTAAATAGCTAAATTTTCTCTGTTCACTGTATTTGTTTCTGAATACAGTATAAAACAGCGAGGGGAAAAAATAAATTTCATTTGATCACTGGTTAAAAAATATACTGACATTTAATTATTTCTCTGCTATTTTCTCACTTGTAATAACTTCAGTACTTATCAGGCAAAGATTCCCCATCTTGTGTTGGAAACATGCATTACATCTGAAACTGTACAGTTGTGCTCTATCTAAACAGAAACTTAACACCACAGGAAAATGAACACATATGACAGGTGATTTTTTTTTTCATGCAAAGCTTGTGATCTTATTTTTTTATTATTCTTATTTTTTTTCTACTTATATAAAACCATCCTCTGAAATATGGCACTCTTTTTTCTAAATCAACACATCAAGAATGATTGGAAAATAAAGGACTTTCTCTACACAAGGAAATGGATTATGGTGCAAATCTGGATTTGTATCACAAGGAGTGCGACAGAAAACAGAAACAAGGTCCAATTTAAACACTTGATCCAAGTGCTGGGGACCGACATCGTCTTTAAGCACACAACATTACTGAAATTGTTAACGTACATCCTTCCCTTTAACCTTTACAGCAACTGAACACTTAATTCTGACTATACAATTCACTTGCTTAGTCATATATATATTCCAAGTGTTCAAAAAGGGATAAAAGAACATATCTTAACATCTTTTCAAGTACTTCTTAAACTTCCCTATGTCCTATGTATCTGTACTAACAGCAGTTTCTAAAGTGAAATACATGGCATTCATATGTAGGTCTGATTCTAGGTCCGCACTTAGAAAGAAATTTCATCCAAAAGATGGAATAAATGGGGACAGCAATCTTTAGGGGGTTTCACTAATCCGCTACGCTCTAGGCCCAATTATGAGCTTGGAAATGTCATGACTGTGTTTAGTGCTTGTCTGACATTACAGTGCATGCAGGGCTGGGAGCACAATTGAAAAAGGAAAGCATTGCACCTATTTTCCTGCAGAGACATGAAGAAGTAAGTGACTATGGGCAACTAAGTGTATGGCCTCTATCGGGGTGGGGGTGGGGGGGGGTCAGGACAATATCATGCAAGCGGACTGTGAGATGTAATAACAGACGGCTAATGAAGTGCATGTGTTGTTAGATGTAGGGTCGGACTAAAACCGACCCATGATCCTGAGGGACAGCATGACAATAATCTGAATCTCTATCACAGGTTTGAGACCACCGGCAGTTGCAACGTGGCACTAAATTAACTCATCGTCCTGTGACGCTGCCTCGCATTATGCTGGCAAAGGCATGACGTTAGACAAACTGAGCGAGAGTGTCAGGTTGTGTAGCCAGCACAGTCACTCACTGAGGCTGAAAGTCAGTTATGATATGTACAACCATCACTCTACACTTCTAACACCATCATATCACTTGTACCAGCATAATTAGGTCTTTAAAGGTTGATTCCATGTACCAGCAATTGCTCAGCCTTGGTCTTGGGTCTATGCCACTTGTTTCAGGCATGTTATATCACGGTGGTGGAAAAAACCCTTAAGATAACACAGCTCAGAGAGAGAGAGAGAGAGAAGACTAGACCCTCATTGTGTCCATGGAAGATCTGGAAGAAGGAAACAGCAAGACTTAGCGACCCACAAACCAGTAAATGAGTCCAGCTCAGAAGGCTTTCTTCTCCAGCCGGTCCAGGATTGCCTGGATCCTCTGTACGGCCTCCTTTCGGGCTTGCCGGACGTTGTCCTGTCCCTGAGTCTCCACAGAGTCCAGCTCCAGCAGCTCTTTGGTCAGCAGTTCCTCCAGACACCGATAACTCTTGTCTGTCTTTTTGCCAACAAACTCGTCGACATCTTCCTGAAGCAGCAGCACTCTGGCCATGACCTGTTGGACCTTAGCTAGGCCGGGGTTATCGCTCAGGGGGTGAGGTCCAGCTGGGCCTGGAGCTGGAGCCGGTGCTGGAGCTTGGGCCGTGGCCGAGGGTGGGGGCTCACCTTGAGAAGGATTGGGCTCTCTTCTACCGGTTTTGTTGTACATCTGAGGAGGTGAACTTATTTCAGCAGGCTTTCCATTGGGGTGATTCAGGGATTGGGCTGGCCTGGGTTTTGGTCCCACTTGCGGGGCACGTTGGTGCTGTTGGTCCTACAATAACATCAGACAGAAGATTGTAAAGATATTTGATAATTGCCAATCTCGACTCCAGATGTGGGGCTGGGCGATATATTTACTGGGGAAGTCTAGGTCAAATCTCAAAGATTGCAACAGGGCCGATCAAGGCATTTTTTAACTGATCAGGATCAGCTTTACTGAGCTGCATACAGCCCAATCCTATCCTTTGCTTTACGTCAGCTGTTACACAAGTGTAATTCCTTGCAAAGCTTTACATTGTAGGGCTATTCAACTGTCAAGCATATACATTAGATTGATTTTAATCATTTCAATGTACTTCAAGAGTGCACTGTGCAGCTGTATTATCTAGGAAAATAGAATTATTGGGTCGGGACTCTGTATCGGCAGATGTTCATCATGAAATGACCTAGATCTGGTTCTGGCGTATAAAACTGGATCCAGATATCCCTAGTATTTACACAATGAGATTTTTGATCAATAATCATCAGTACTGTGGATATAATGACTATGTGGGTTAAGGGAAAGTAATCAGGCAGCTACAGCAGTTTGTTAAGGTAAGAAAATGATATCACTTAACTGTAACGCAGCCTTTAAAACCAGAAAAGACAACATTTATGATATTACAATAACCAAATTCTAACAAGATATCTAGTCTTATATCATGACAGCGATACAATACAAGCACATCATTTGTAAATTGTATTCACTCACTCAAATGATCTATGCTTATACTGTGGTGAGACTTGACATTTTGGTTTTTGATATCTAGTTCTCCAAATCTGGTTTCATGAAGCCACATCTCTTGCGGGTTTCATGTCGTCTTCTATCATCACAAATAGACATGTTTTCTAAATATCTAAATGATAAAAGTCAGACCAAGACAAATGTGATTGAACCTTACCTAAACCTATCAGTGCAGTTTTCTTAGTTTTAAAGTTCATCACCTCCTGACATTGTAACACTTAGTGTGTTTATTTTCAGTCTCATATCAGAGTATATTTTTACTTACCTAACTTTATTAGTAATACTAAAGGGGTCATGAAGGCTACATTGAAGTACAGCATCTGTGGATTCATACCTTGGGTTGGTAAGGTGGTGGTGCACCAGTTCCAGTCCCTGGCCATGCTGGAGGATGCGGTGGACGGACATGATTTCCGTAGTGGTTTTGCGCAGGCTGCTGGCCTGGCTGCCATTGCTGCTGTGGGGGAGCATATGCACCAGAGTGCGCCCATGCATCGGCCTGGGGGTTTGGGTGGAGTTGCTGGCCCGTGGGGTATGGGGGGGTTGAAGGCATTGCATGACCACCTTCACTGTAGTGAGGGTACGCCCCAGGAGGATATCCAGGACCCTGGGAGCAGAAGTAAGACTTTGTTTCTTTAGGGTGTGAGGGTAATTTTAGTTAAAAGAAAAATAAAAACAAGCTAATTATTTTTATCACTTATAACACTCTGTATAGATTGTCATAGTCAGAGATGACTATTGGTAATGTCACATTTGGCAAATATGATTTCAAACATTTGACTATGGTGTATGTTTAAATGAACTCACTCCTTGACAGTGTGGACCAGGATAATGATGATGTTGATGCTGATGTTGATGTTGAGAGTGTGGCTGCCCAGACGGCCCACTGCTCTGCTCTGCTGGACAGCCCTGGTTAGGGTAAGGACCTGGAGCCGGTCTCTGAGTGTCAGCACAGTAGAAAGGATTGGATGGGTGGAAACCACTTGTTGAATACTGATTCTGCGCTGGGCTGTAGACACCATGGCCATTTGGATAACCTCCAGGCATTACCTACACGGAAAGCACAAGACGAGGGATTAACTATAAGACAGTCCATTGTCTGTGTGTGAATGTATGGTGATGTAACTGTTCTGACACTGTAGCTGACTGTTAGAAAATGTGAGTGAAAGGTGAAAGCACTTAAGAGACTTAAGGATGATGAGTAGATTTACTGCTAGGGTACACCTTCGGATTTAGAGGGCTAGGTTGTGTTGCATCATGAGCTGTACCTGTGGATTGTACTGTGGCTGAACGTCTGATCCCGAGGGATAGGTGTTTGCATAGTGTCCTGTGGAATGAGACTGGGGATACCAGTAGTGTGAAGGGTAGCCGGGATACTGAGGAGCGTCCTGTGAACACAGAATATCACATAGAAGAGTGTTATTTTAAGAGAAGATCTCTGTCCTTCAGGTACTGTTTGCAATTTATAAGGTGGGAGGGGGTGGTGCAAAAAAGGGGGAGGAATGTCAACTATTTTTTTAAGCACTGGAGAGGGACTTTTCTTTTTTATTTTGGCTTAGGGAGGGGTATACAAATTTAAATGCTAGTATTTTGTATTTTTTTTACTGCACAGTTTTTCAGAAAACATGCCTTCCAAACCGGCCAGCGGGTTTGGAAGGCATGTTTTCTTTAAAAAAAAAAAAAAATCAGCAAAATCACCCCATTTATCATAGCCAAAAACTGTAGCAAAACTTAATGGTGGATTTTCACATTTCCGACAGTCCTTGGACACATCATTAGCAACTCACACTGGGTGCGAATAATGCAATTTGCAAAAGTGAATTAGATGTAAAGTCAATGTTAAGACATCATTAGACTAAAATTCCCACTGTGCAGCAAGATGGATGCAGTGCAACTGACGTGAAATACACTAATTAAGTGGCAAAAATTAAGCAAGTTGCACTATTTCATGTCATAGGCTTATTCGCAAGAGTTGAAAAATCTGAATTTCAGCAACTAATTCGTGCCACACTAGCCAATCAGCACTGAGATCCTTCAGGGCATATGACGCAGAAGATGTACCGGTGAAAGTTAATTCATTGATTCAGCTATTTTACATGCGTTGGCATGTATGAATTGAGTCAACACAAAATATTATGACATTCAAACTCACGCAAGTGAGTTGCTTTGAGTTTGACGTGTACAAAACGCTTCTGTCAAAAAGCACAAGAGTGATGCTTTGATGTCAACTTTTAAATTTCAAACATCACAGGTTAAGTTTTAAAAATCTATTTATTAATTTATGGTGGAGACAGAGTCATGCATTTTCCACCAGTCACTCAGGAAGGCTCAAGATAAAATATTTCTGGCTTTGGAGAGGGTCATAAAAAGTCACACCCCAGCTACCACCTTCCTCTCCTTTGATAAGTAAAGAACAGTCCCTAAGTACCAGCAGCACTATTTATATTCTGAGCTGTCCTGGATACAAGCTAACAGGAAACTGTCAACCAACCACATGCTGTCAACATCACCGCCTCTCCCAGACACAAACAATAACTGAGTAAACAGTGGCACTGACTCAGTTATTGCTCACTGGACCAGTTGTGAACAGAGCAGATAAATTCTGCACTGCTAACCAAAAACAGGCCACGCTGCATTTAAAGGGAATATTTCTCAAACATATACGTTTTGACACAAGTGTAGTGTTATTAGTATTTTCGTCACGTCAAGATAAACGTGACAAAGTCGGGCGACAGCTGAACAAGCAGTGTAGCTGTAATTATTACATAATGCCAGCTAGCTCCGTTAGCCGTCCAGCTAGCATGGACCCTGCTCTATCGTTACGCAAGCTAGCTGGGTAAAAATGTTTTTCTGTAAAAACTCAGGTTGTTTGTTGAAAATTTAACACACTCAAAGACAACAGACAACCCGTGGGGACTTGTCCATGCTGTGTCTACTCACTTACCATTGTGTTATTCCAGTTGCCGTGAGTATTTTCCGAGTTGCAAGCCGAGGGCCAGTCGGATTTCAGATTTGACTGCATTTGATGATGGTGCATCGGCTAAGCGCGCTCCCCGGCATCCGTCCTGTTACCTGCCATTGTAGAAGACAAATGTTTAAGAAGCCTAACGCTACTTATCTGAGCCGTCAATTGGTCCAAACTGTTAGCAACAATGTTGCCGTTTTTTCTACAGAGGTAGAGATCGCCTGATTGGAATCAGGAAATGATTGAATGACACTGATACTTCGGCAATCCAGTACTGTCTCTTTAAGGAAGGGCGCGAGTAAACGTAAAGAGGTCTCACTCCGCCACTTTTTTTTCTGCCACCGCGACGCGACCTCAGTGCATTGAAAGGCAGTGTTAAGAAGGTCACTTTTAAAATGTAATGGGTTACAGATTACTAATTACCCTGTCTAAAATGTAATGAGTGATGTAATTATTTTAATTTTTTCATCAAAGTAATGTAACTTTAACAGTTAATGTTTTTTTCATTCCTTAACTTGAATACATAAAGCTAGTCACTCTGTTATTTTACTGATTATGCGGAAGTTGCAGTGTTTGCGTGGTTTGGGTTAAAAAACAAAATTGTATTCATTAATTGTATAACGTAACGTTATCACAAGTAAAACTGTTGAATTGTTCCGGATCTGTCACTGTCTGGTAGTTATATACGATCTTTGTTGCTGCGTGTGCGTCAGTTGATTAACCAACAGGAAACACTTCATCAAAATATATATTTTTAAAAAATATATTAACTAGTATTTTAACCTTCAAAAATGATCTGTTTTTGGTGTCACGTGTATTTATAGGTGTTTTCTTAAAGAAACTGTCATAAAAAGTTAGTGAACATAAATTTAATTGTATTGCAGCGCCCGAAGGGTTAAGCGTCTACAGGAAGTTTATCCCAGCCGTGTATAAAGACACTTCCTGTACTCCTCTTGAAAGAAACATATTTTGAAACATTCATGGCTTGAGATTACACAAAGATTTACGAAGCAAATTAAAATCAGCCCAAGATGAACTACGTACCAGGGACAGCAAGCCTCATTGACGACATCGACAGTAAGTGTGAGAGGAGGATCCGCTCCCTCGTACAGAGAGATGGTGTCTGCTGAGAAATCGTTTCGAGATGTGGCATCGTGTCCGACACAACTGTATCATTTGTAACCGTTTCACGTTGTAATTAAACATGCCTGTGTTGGTTGTGTCCTGCAGAGAAGCACCTGGTGCTGCTCCGAGATGGCAGAACACTTATCGGTTACCTCAGAAGCATTGATCAGTTTGGTATAACTCATTTCATTACCTTCACTTTTTCTCATCATATAGGGGCCAAAACACAAGTTAACGCATTTCAACTCATCCCACAGAAGCTTAATTCAAATATGATTACCACCATCTGGTGTTTTTATATAGTCTAAGTAAGTGTAGTGCTAGTCTGCACTTTATTTCACTAACCTGTTTCTCTTGTCCTTCCAGCCAATTTAGTTTTTCATCAGACAGTTGAGCGCATCCACGTGGGGAAAAAATTTGGAGACATTCCCAGAGGAATATTCATAGTGAGAGGAGAGAATGTGGTGCTGCTCGGAGAGATAGTAAGTGGGAATATCCTCGTTTTATTTGTGTCTGTGTGTGTGTGTGTGTGTGTGTGTGTGTGTGTGTGTTAGACTGATAGAGGAAGCTGAAATGACGCAACCTGGGATTCAACATCAGTGGATGGTGTGTAGTTACTACCAATGATATTAATTTGGCATAAATTGGTCAGAATCATAAAATTCTCGCATTCGATTAAAATTATAGTAATGAGTCTTGGAGTGGAGGTTCACATAACTATGTGGCCAAAGGTCCAGTGTGAAGGTTTTAGTGGCATCCAGCAGTGAGGTTGCAGCACTGAAACTTCTCCTGTGTGCCAAGTGTGTATGGGAACTATGATGGCTGATGCAAAAATGCCCCTATGTTGAGCCAGCATTTAATTTGTCCATTCTGGGCTACTGTAGAAACAACATGGTGGACTCTGTGGGAGAGGACCCGCTCTGTGTGTAGATATAGACCAAGGGTGCGTTGCGAGTCGCATACTTTTTCGCTTTACTTTTAGTAGGTACTGTGGCAGCCCTTTAAAGGGATAGTGCACCCAAAAATGAAAATTCAGCCATTATCTACTCACCCATATGCCGATGGCTCAGGTGAAGTTTTAGAGTCCTCACATCACTTGCGGAGATCCCAGGGGAGAGGGGGTAGCAACACAACTCCACCTAATGAAGGCTTATGGCGCCCCAGATTCAAACGTCCAAAAACACATAATTGAAAGCACAAAATATCTCCATACTGCTCGTCCGTAGTGATCCAAGTGTCCTGAAGCCCCGACATAAAAAGTTGTTTGGAAAAACGTCGTTTGAACTCTGTTTTTAGCCTCATTGTAGCCTGTAGCTCTAACTGCCTCTCTGTGCACCGCGCTCACTTGTGTGCGCTTGCGCGAGACCGTGAGACATGGGCACTGCCTTCATGCGTGTTCACGTGCTTTCACTGGTTTCACTGGAGATATTTTGTGGTTTCAATTATGTGTTTTTGGACGTTTGAATCTGGGGCGCCTCAAGCCTCCATTAGGTGGGATTTGTGTTGCTACCCCCTCTCCCCTCGGATCTCCGCTAGTGATGTGAGGACTCTAAAATTCACCTGAGCCTCCCTCGGCATATGGGTGAGTAGATAATGGCTGAATTTTCATTTTTGGGTGCACTGTCCCTTTAAAAGATCTGTGCTGTTGCATGCAGTATGCATACACAATTGGCATATACTACTGTTTCATAACATTACGCCCTGAACTTTGACCCTCTTGCTTTTATATCTGTTACCTTGGAGATAAAACAAACGGCACTTACTGAGTTTGCCAGAGACGGACATCAACTTGCTGTTGTTACTTTGCAATGTATGTAGTTTAACTTTAAAGTTATCACTGCACAGATTGTAGATTTTAACATATGATATATGTGACAGTGAAATTCCATCTACAGTCCTCTGTCCCTGTTATTGTCAGAGTTAAGTCCTGTTGTTGATTGTGATATTTCTGATTATTTTGTTCACTTAAGAAAATCAATATTCCTATTATTACTATTCGACTGGTCATCAGTTACTTGAATACTCTGTCATTGCGACTTCTGACAGCTGTCAATCAGCTGTCAAGCCGTCATCTGTTTGCGGCTCAGATGATGTGACGTATTGTCAGCTGTGCAGTGGATTATGGGTCAAAATAGGCCGAGAAGCATGCTGGCTTGCATACTGCAAAATCGCACCAGAGGTAGTACAACATCCTGGTACTTTTGGCATACTGCATTTGACATACTATGTATTGGGACATACTAAATCTTCTTTTGGCATACTAAATGGTATGGTAGTATTGAAATTCACAGCAAATCATAGTGACGGTGAACTAACCGCAGTAGTAACTTCCAGGTAGAAAACTGGCAATTATTTTGAGTTACGGAGATATTTGAAATTGGCAAATTGGTTTATTTCTGTCAAAATTTTAGCTGTAACTGTAACGTTTAAAGATCTACAGTTAAACACCTTGGTCTGACCTGTCTGACTTTTCTTTTGTACTTATGGTATTTAATCTACTGTGTTGCTTTGCTAGTGTCTTTAATAAACCAAATAAACCAAATCTACCAGCACGGAAGCTAAACAATGTGCAGCTGTGGATGGGGCCAAAGTAAAACGTATTTCAGCCACCTAAAAAAAATCAATATCAGTTTAAGTGTTCACTATATTTGGAATATTTTCACAGCTTTACCTTACACAATAGCTGATGGAGGTAGTGGTAGACCAACAACTCCCTTGTTCTGTGAAGTAAAATGACTGAATGAATGGCTTTTAGAAAACGGCTTCAGCTTCCCGTCAAAAAAGGGCTGTCTGACAGCAAGGTAAAGCAGTGAAATTATTCTAGATAAAGTGTAGAGGGTTTTTTTGTTTTGTTTTTTTCTGAAGGTGGCTAAAAGCTAACCAATGAGGCAGTGTTTGCTCAGTGATGTTTCATTTTATGCACATGACGCAGGGTTTTCTACCCCTAAGTTGTTGCAAATAAAACATTGTGAGTCGGTCCATAAACGGCTCATGTTAAGGTAACCAAAGCAGCGTTTTTCTAATCTTTTTTGCCAATAGATGCCCCTAAACCCTACACACTGGACCTGTAAAGTAACATGTTATTGTTTCTAAATTTTTATTGTTTATTCTACATACTTATTTTTAATACTGTCAGGCTGTATGGAAACAGATGAACACAATGTGTATGAACCCAGCTTGTTTACCCAAGCTGATGTCTATATTTTTATTTTTCTGGGTAGTAAGTCACTAGGCTACAAACTAAGTAAACACAACAGCTAGACTGCTTTCCAATAAATCTTCTAATTTGGTGTGACACTGCTAGTTCTGTAATCAAGGATACAGAAGTTGTGTTGGTACATGGAAGATAGGATGGTGTGTTTTACGCAGCCTTCTACATGTGCAAACAAAATAAAACAGTCTAAGATGTGTGAAACCTACAGAACAATGTAACTCCTGCTTAGCCACTTAAACAGGCTTTTATTCTGAACATTAAATGAGAGTTAAAGTAACTAAAACCATCTATAATATTTGATTTTTGTATCTCTAATTTGTGTTAACATGTGCAGTGACACCTAAAACACATTGCAGCACATTACAGTTACATTATAGGACCCTCTAAGCCTTCACACACCACAACCCAGACTCTGTATCTTCCTCTATAAATATGCTTCATGCATTCAGTCACAAATCTGCATTTTGACAGCAGTGAAGCTGCTACAGCTGCAGAGTATGTACACTATGTCGACCACAGCAGTTCACGTTGTCAATGAAGAACACACACATAGAAATGATGGGACCCTTAGGGCATGATGATGCAATTGCCAAACGTTTTCATTTTTAGCAGACACAAGACATCAATACACTGTTATCAAGCTCAGTGCTCGGGGAGATGTTAACATCTTTTTATGGACGGTGAGGTTTGTGGTAGCCTGATAATTATACTGAGTTGCTATTTCAGTTTCATTTCATTATTCATTCATTACTCATTATTTATTTATTTCTGTTTTTAATTGCTGGAAAAAAAAGAAATGTTGGGGGGTGAGTGAGTCTGCACCGAGGCTGAGTTTGTGGTTGAGAAGTTATACTGGTGCTGTTTCAGATGTGATTTGATATTGGATGATGACTTTTGGCCAACAGTGGCAATTCAGTATCAGCAGGAATATATTTACATACTGAATGTGAGCGGTTCTTGTGCTAAGCTTTAATCTGAAGCTGTCATGGGAGGTAAGAGTGAACAGTGTGCTGATATACATAATGTGTGATTAGTTTGCTGAAAGCCCCATGACAGATGAAATGTCCCTATCTCTGCAGGATGTGGACAAACCCTGTGACACAGTCCTGCAGCAGGTCTCCATCGAAGAGATTCTGGAGGAGCAGCGGTTGCAGCAGCAAGCCAAACAGGAGACGGAGAAAGTCAAAATGCAGGCCCTGAAGGACCGAGGCCTTTCCATCCCAAAAGCTGACAACTTAGACGAATACTAACATTGATTCCACGAGCCTCTTTCTCAGTTTATATCGGACTGATAAGTTTTATGTTGCATTTGATTTTGAGAGAGCATGAGTGTGTGTTTTTTTTAATGAGTACAAGGCTGCATCATGTTGGGCCTGTACACTGCAGTGTACTGTATGGATTTCATTTGAATTATGTGGAGGAAAAAATGTGATATCTGCTCTCTGATCTACAGATCCTCAAAGCAAAACTAAAGATCATCATGTGTTTATGTAAAATCACTCTGTTGGCAATTTAGCAATTATTTTACAACAGCAGCACTTTCTATTTTGTCAGTGATATGTTGAGCCTGTTTATTTGGAGATACTGTGCTATTGACAAAAAACTACATGCTATGCTCCATTAAAGAGTTTAGTTTTTCATTATGGAAGGCGTGCTTGTGTCATCACATCTTCTGACCACGTTGCCCAGTCTTTCTGTTTTATATGATGCATTATTAGGTCATTAAAGGCTGAAATATTTGGGGGTAGTTGCCCTTCTGCTCCAGTGTGATGGCGCCAAAATGCCACCAAACGCTGCAATGTTACATCAAACGTGAGGCTCGTGCATGTGTTACGCCTATCCAAGAGGAAAGGGCATAATTAATTTGAGTAATTCAGTGCAGGCAGGCGGCACATCAGTGCATCAGACTGTGTCCTGTTTATAAAGATAAGAGCGCGTCCGGAGAAATCGATCCTATCTGACTTAATCAGTCAGTGACAGTCGTTTGGACGGATACAGTGAGTTGATATAAAACAGGCACCCTGTGACAGCCTCATTGCGCCCTGTACACTGGGTGCTGCAGCAGGCAGGGTGGCGGTATGTCTGTGAACTCTTAAACGAGTTATCATAGTACCACGTGACTTTGCCTTCCGCCGAGATTCAATGTATGTTGAGTTTTTTTACACTGAACACTGTAAAGCTGCCTGCATGCGGGGGGGGGGGGGGGGGGGGGGGGGGGGGGGGGGGGGGGGGGGGGGGGGGGGGGGGGGGGGGGGGGGGGGGGGGACTTACACAAAGATGTCAAACTATGTATAGTTACAACAGTAAGAGTTCCGGGCAACCTTCAAAATAAAAGCTTCATAAAATGCACTCCAGTAGGAGCCACAGGATCATATATCACAATCAGCTTTATAGGCCAAGTGTGTGCACACACACATGGACTTTGACTCTCATTGTACATATAGACGTGACATGAATGAGGAGGGCAAAAGTTGAACAGTGGTTAAACATGCTAGGGACCACACAAAGATGGGTCTGTGTTTTTTTCAGCCATGCCACTGGCTAGTCCAGGTCTTACACAGGGATTAAGTTTTGTCACAACAGTTTCTAGCAGCTGTCATATTTACAATATTAACTATATTGCTGTTATACTAAGTTGCATACACACACTTTTGGAATCTCAGATGCCACCAACATGGAAGACATGACGTTCCTGACCTGAGTGAATATGACCCAGACAAAACAGTGTAGTAGAAATAAAAGCCTTTTGCTACTTGGATCCATTTAGTTTGTAATCATGGGTCGTGGTATCATCAGGCATCATCATCATCATCTGGCACTAAATGCTGCCTAATGCAGCGTATCCATAACCTTATTACAACCTATCATTTCTCTTATGTCGTTCATCATGTAGAAATTGCACCACCAGAGGGCGTCTTTACATTTTATACACCACTATATTCACCACTACAGTTATTTTACCCTTCTTTTTTTATTTGACATCATTTTATTTTCGGCACAACTTGCAGGTATACATTCACAAATAATTGTTGTCAATATTAGAGCACATGTAGATATCAGGGCAATGACAGGTGGTTAAACTAACAAAACAGGACATAATAATAATAACAAAAATAAAAACTGACTGTCTGACCTCTTCATAACATCATACCACATATAATACAGCTCTCCTGTTATGGCATTAACAGACACAAAGAAGTAACACAACATACACACCTGCACCTTTTGGTCATTCCTCAACCCTGACCCTCAACATCCACATGGGTCTTTCTCTTAATTCTACTATACATGTATAAAGATTCTCAAACGTGCACTGAAATAAGACAAAATACAAACACAAATTCATGACATTTTTCTAGCTATGTTGAGTACTTCCTTCCTAGCCTCAAGCATGATGTAACCTGCCCCCTTCATCCTAGCAACAAAGAAATCCAAAGATAAAGTCTGTTACAGAGTATCTCCACTGCTCAGTAGTGTGGCGGTTTCCACCAAACCACCAACATCTTTGTAGCAGCAGTGCATGCTGATAACCATAGCTGCCTTTGAGTGTGATTAAAGTTCAGCCATGAATTATCATTAAGTAGTTTACACGCTGGAGAGCAGTCAATCTGTCTATCAATGATTCAGCGCAGTTCTTGTTCCAAATTGCTATAGTTCCAATTGGAGTTTGTGTGTGCTCTAAAATGTATTAGAAATTTAAAAAAAAAAGCTAAATCCAGATAGTTTCCTAATAGCATTCATTACTGGATGAATAACAAGTTGGTTGTCACTCAAGATATTTTCAGCCTGTATAGCAGAACATGATTGTAGATACAGAAAAAGGAGTTGACAGTAACAATTTGTATGTTTCTTTCAAATCCTGAAAGCTTCTTAAATCAGGGTAATTTACAATGTCTCCTAAGCAATGCATACCTGAGTTATACCACTGAGATGAGGTAAAATATTGTCCCCCAGACTTAAATGAAGTATTATAGTTATGAGTTATTATTATAGTTAGTTACTTATTTTACTCTCAATTGCAATATAGCCAATGTGCATTTTAAGAGAATGGGCATTTCTAAAGCTTTACAACAAGGTTTCAGCAGACATGCATTCATGTCCTGGAATAATATCCACCTGAGACCGTAACTTTTTTGGTATGTATTTTTAATTTCTCCTAGCTATTTGGGATTAGTAGGATCTGATAAGTATAAAAAACTAGACATTATCAACAATAATAAAGTCCCAAATGTCCTCAAATGAGCACTTCCTAATTAACAGCAACTTAGCTTGTTACTGTTGCTAAATTGGTCAAATGTGTTGTCATATCAAACTACAAATTGTATTAATCATAAATAAACCAAAAAAAGTGTAAAGTGCAGGAAACTTACAATCTGATGTCCTCATGAGGACACAGGGTACTAGGCGGACATAAACTGAGACAAAGGATGTCCTCACAGGTGTTCTCAGTTATCTGTCTGATTAGACCTCTGCTCAGGTTGGGTGAACCTATGCTGGGTGCTGATGTCACCACACCGTAAAGCTGACTTGTTGAGAGTCAGTGTAAAAGGTTTGTACACATCCACACAGCCTGAGAGGAGGTACAATCAGCTAACAAGTGGAAACACCTGTGCAGGTGGACCATAGCTGCTTTACAGGTGTGGATAATTGTGAATTTTAACATTTACGCTTATGTGTATGGATTTTTTGCATCCTTTAACTTACGTTTCTGGCTGTAATTGTGAGGAAAAACTAGGACTATTGGTAGTTTATTTTGTTGACAAATTAGCTTCACTTCCCGTGAAGTTGTTTCCGTCCGCCGCTTGACGCAGCTGTGACAGAGAGGCCCAGCCCATTTTGATTACGCACCAACAGAGGAGGGGGGCGCGCTGATGTCCTCTCTGGTGCGCTCAACCAACCCCTGCTGTTGTAATGTAAAGCTGGTAGTGTCCTGCCGTACCGCTGTAAAGAATCCGCTGTTAAGGACACGGTTCGCAGACATCGGTGCCTCCAACGTTAATACTTTCTGCATCGGAGAGATTCCGCAGCCAAATTACGCATGGAAAGGTTTTGGGGGGATTGGAGTAGAAATGCAGCGCCGCACTTCCAACCCACAACAAGAACCATGCCCAGCTTACATTGCAAGCAAATCTATGACATCCTGTTTTATCCATTACGACTTTGATATGAGTGAAATTTGCTCGGATACCGACGAGGAGTGAAGAGAAACCCCACACAGCATACAAACGCCGAAAGACGTTGTTTTCGCTGCAGACGCCTGTGAACCGAAAACCTCTGCATTTAGGATTTTTTTTTTTTGATGGAGCTGGAGAACATAGTAGCCAACACTGTACTGCTAAAAGCGAGAGAGGGTAAGTTGGCACATAAAAGGAGCTAAGTGCAAACAGTAAGTATAGGCCTGGCTGTGTCACATTTTGCGCTCAATATGCAGAAAAGGTGGGAATAATCGTAATGATGACGGCAGTAGGTAGGTAGCTTGCGGACTGTACGGCTCAGTACAGCAGGTAAACCCTACAGATGCAACAGAAAAAAAGACTCTTATGCAATAACACACTTAACATGAACACATCTCACTGGGAATCATTCCTAAGGTGATCAATTCTAACCTATAATCAATCTCATGGATCATTTTATCCTCATTGAATTTGACAGATCATATGCGTTTTCCCACATAGGCTATGTAGGGGGAAAAAATCTGCCTCCCACATCCGCTTTCGCTGTCTGTGCAAATGAATGCGCTCTTTCGCAACATTATACATGCTGAGGCACACACTGAAGCAGGGAATAACTCTTTATACACAGAGAATAAATGAGTGTAGGCTGACTGGCATTTGAACGGTGATCTGATGACGTTACTGGTGTTGAAATCTTTGTATGGGGCCTGCACAGAGGGAGACTGGTTATCAGTGTAGAAACGGTCCAATGTCTGAGAAGGCCACATGTAGCCTGACTTTATAGGTTGAAATATAAAGGTATTAAGTTTCATTAACAGCTCTGTTTTTTTAGGGAGAAAGCCAGGGTCGTGCTGAGGGCAGGAGGAAGGCTTGCAGGTAAACATCATGCAGTCAAACACCATGATTGTTTCCCTGGAAGTCTTCTAGATGTCCATGAACCTGTTTTGGGAACAAGTGGATTAAAAAAAAGAAGGCATCATACTTCCTTAGAGCTCTGTATATGTCATGCCTCTTCAGAATAAACGATGAAACCTTTAACTGCACTGGAAACGCTGTAAATTCTAAGTAACTCACCCACTCTCACAAGTGCACACACAAGTTTGGTTGCACGTGGTTTCATGTGGCAACAGTCTCTGTGGAGTTGCGGGGTGACGCAGGAGAGGACTGTGCGCCTCTGGCAGCTCCTTCCATTTATCTCACATGATGACATACTTAGGAGGAAAAAAAGGGGGGCTAGTCTGCGGAGAGGGCAGGGAGAGTTTCATGGGAATTGATGGAGTAAAACAGGAAGCTGAGATGCTGTCAAAACCCTTGGGGCATCGGTGGCTTGGTGGTGGAGCGGGCGCCCCATGTGCGGGGCTGTTGCCGCAGCGGCCTGGGTTCGACTCCAGCCTGTGGCCCTTTGCTGCGTGTCGCTCCCTCTCTCTCTCCCCCCTTCACACTCATCTGTCCTATCAATTAAAGGCTTAAAAATGCCCGAAAAAAAAAAAAAACCTTAACAGAGGATGTCTGCGGGTCAATCTGGACGTTTTGTCTTATGGGGGCAGAGCACGACTGGGCCGGGTGAATTAAGCTTCATGAATTAATAAGAGCAGCTAATGACCCATGACAGATCTCGCTTGTCCCAGCTGCTCCATTGGTGCTCATCCAGTCCCTGACTGTGTGTGGGGGAGAAAGGGCCTTTTACAGTTTCGCATTAAGGGATGAAACGGTCCTTTGAGTTAAGAGCTGAAGCACGACTTTCTCCACAGCTTGATCAATGGCCCTACAAATGCAGGCGTGTGAGAGTAGATCAACAGTTGAGTTCAGATTCGTTGCACTACGCACTCTGAAACTTGTCACAGGTTGTTGTGAGTGTCATACTGTGTAATTCATTAGAGGTTTTATCTTATAGGGGCCTGGTGCCAAAGAGATCCCTGTGTGCTGCTGGTGGTAACCCTCCAGCTTCTCACTCATATGTATGGCAGGGGACAGTATACACAGAGGCTCACTTTGGGTAACATACCAGCACCAGTGAGAGGATGTGAATGGAGCAAATAAAGTGTTTATTCCTGTTTGTTTATGCGAGTGCGTCTCAAGCCGGAGCTGAAGCGAGAGGCATGCATCCTCTGTCCAAACGCTCGCAGGGACGCACAACAGGAAGGCCCAGTTTCCACTGCAATCTTTGTTTTGTGCCATCGTCCTCACACCTCTCAAATCAGTGAAACAGTGTAAGTGGCAGCGAAGCGTAGAAATAAAACAGCGATTGATATCCCCAGGCAAGGAGCCACAACACAGGCCCTGTGCCAACCTTGCATCGCTCTGTGGCTCCTCTGTGTCAGACAGATCTGACAGTACTGGTCCTGGTTTTGCCACCAAGACCTTGTGAACACTCCTCATTGATTAGAGAACCCAGAGATGGGAGATTAACTTATGGATCAAAGAGGATTTACGATCAACATGCTGTTTCATGTTAATCACAGAGTGGAAAATGTAACTCATGGCTTTTCCATAGCTGAAAAGAAGCAGCTCTGACCGTATTGAACCATCTCGTTAAGTGACCGCTCTCTTACATAAAGCCAAATGGTATTATACACTATCAGTTAGATGCAGCCCATAAGCTATTTAATCAAATTGATCGTTACATAACAAACTGAGTGGGCTACTGCCATCCGAGCTCCATCTTCCTGTGGAGCTGCTCTCTGGTCTCTGCGGAAGATGCTTTATGGATGATGAGTATGCAGTGAAATGAAACACCCCGATCTCCTGCACGGTCATCTGAGTATCATCTGACGTCTACAGTACAGTTAACTATGTCAGAGCAGCAGGACGTGCTGCTGTGCTGATCTTAAAAGCTCCGCTGTCTGTATGAGCTATGTCAGCTGAGGAAACTGGGGGTCACAGCAGATCAAAAAAGAAGCCCTGCGAAGTTATTCATGGCTGTTTGTTTCAGCCTTTTTAATGTTAGCTGACATATAGTGACATAGACTGAGCAGGCTTAATACCAGGGTACACTGTAGATTTATGTGTGTTAGCAGATGAGGGGTGTGGGGGTGAATTCCTTTGTTTCAATGTAACCTGAACCCAGCTGCTCTGACGAGAGCAACATCAGTGCAGTAGACCCTGAGCTTATTATGTGTGTGTGTGTGTGTGTGTGTGTGTGTGTGTGTGTGTGTGTTCCTGCCTCCCCATTCACAACTCTTGCTGGCAGCGGTCGCAGATTCCAAGCCAGGCGAGCGAACGTCATCGGCTGTCGAAGTGAATGAGAGTAAGGGGGAAAAACTGCATTGCTGCATCCAGATGCCTTTCTTGAATTGCTGTAGCAGAGCCGGGGTATTTAGTTTGGGCTACTGGACTGAATTCCACTCCGATGCCTGCTGGCTTTCACATTCAGGCTGTCGTGTTTTTTGGAGGCTGTGGTTGCACAAGCGAAAATCACTTCTATCACATTTGGTGTAAAATTCAGTACAGGGAAGTGCCTCATACAGTACAGCCAGTACGTTAACAGATATCTCCATGGTAAAATGACCTGAGTGGCGAAGGATTAGTTTATTTCCAGGTGGCTAAGGTGAGACGTGATGATGGAAACATGGCATCTGTTCTCTCAGTGTCTTTTGTTTTTCTCCCCCTTTGTTTCCTCAAACAGAAGTTTTAGGTAATGTCATTGGATTAAAATCCAGACCGGTTGAAAGAATGATTTTGGAACTCTGTTGATCTGTGATCCTCTACAGTGATTTATTTGTTGCAGGCTTATAGAAGAATTTCTATAATGAAACAAGGACCTTGTTTGACAGCCTATATGGTGGAGGCCTCTTATAGTGATCACATCTGTCCAGGTCAAACTCATGACTATAAGTAGATATTCATCATAGCTGAGTGTTTTTTCTTTTCTTTGTTCCTCATGCAGATTACCATGTCATTGACATCTGTGTGTTTATCATATGATTATGAAGTTATGGGGGCATGACGTGACAGGGCATTATCAATCCACTTGACAAGGACATTTTCAACCACAGGTGCTTTCCCCATGCTCATTCGTTTTTCTGTCTCCATCAGCGGCCATGACTGTTTCTCGTTGTTTGAGTAGACTTCACAAAGTACCAAGTTTCACTGTTTTGTCTGGGCCATAGTGATTCACCAAGTTGCACCGCTGCATGTCACTGGCTTGTTTTTGGCAATTTGTCAAAAGTCACAAGGAGACTATTTTGAAGACTAATGAAGCAGCAACCTGCAATGCTGAAAAATGAAGCCAACACAGAAATGCCAAAAAGTGCA